GTGTGGTATTAAACAGCTTGAAAGATCAAAGACAATTTTTAATATTACTCCGACTGGATTCATCTGAAAGAAGAAAGTCATATACACCTAGGATGACTTAGGGCTGTGCGATATTGAAGAAAAATGCGATACGCGATATGCGATACGATAATGCTTAAAGTGCCACATGCTCAAATGAAAGTTTTACTCAGCTGTTGCTGAGTGAGTTCTGTGAACTTCTATAACTATCTTGTGTCATATATATATATTATGTACATTTGCTATATTTCGATAATTTCGATATATTGCACAGCTCTTGAGGGTGAGTAATTTATGGGCTAATTTTCATTTTTGGGTGAACTAACCCTTTAACGCCTCCAAAGGTGGTTTGAGCCCATGTTGGTTTCGTTTTGACAACTGGAGGCAGCACTTGAAAACTGGCACTCATCATTAGATCTGCAAAGTGCCACAAAGCCGAGAGCTGCATCGACAGACCCTTACAAGCAAAAAACCATTTGATCGCTCGAGGTCCAGCATGTCTGCCAGCACTCACTTGTGCCTGTGGCTGTTGCCGTAGCAACAGGTCGTGCTATGTCAGGTGGGGGCTTCAACTTCATAAGCTCTCCAAGGCTGCTTGTCTTCAGGCTGCTGGTTCTGAGAAGGTCCTTCAATCTGATCTGCTCATTATTCGGTGGGACCACAGTGCAAACGGCGGGAGAGGACAAAGAGCTCCGTTGTGCTGTCGAACTTGTGTGTACCACCTTGGTTACTCTGATGGTCTGCCTGGCGGTGGTCCCGGCTGATGGTTTGGTCACTACAATTGTACCCAGCGATGGCAACTGATTCAGTTGATTTAAAACGAAGGTGGTTGTTGAGGGCTGAGGCTTCTCCTGCAAAGACGACAGAATATACAATCAATGCGTAATTCTGAGCTTTACAGCCAAATATTAAAACAAGCAGTAGCTTCAAACAGACCGACCGTCTATAGTTCACTCACTCACTGTCTACATAATATTGCACAGAATAAAAGGCAAGAAATAGCTAGTTCCAATCTGATTGGATGCAACTTCCAGAAATAAATGCAAACTAGGGTTGTGACGGTGAGGACAATTTCCCACCGGTTAATTGACATGTGACAACACCAGTAATAACGGTATCACCGGGGGAATGGGTTTCGTTGGGGTTTTCCCTCTTTTCCTCGCTTTCCTTCACTTTTAAATAGCTTGTAAATGCCTGTGCGCATTTTACTTTCACTTTATTAGCATCAATTCAGCATCAGTTGTTTGAATGTATACAACAAAACGGTACTTTTTCACTTATATTAAACAAAACTTTTGTTAGCAAACTGAATAAAAATACACCATGCTATAGGCCTAATATAAAATAAATAACTTAAAAGTTTATATATATATATATATAAATAAAAATCAGCAAACACTGTGGAACCAAATAATAATAACAAAAACGTATTTTAGCCAGTTGCCAAGGCAACATTTTTCATTTTAGTTTAACTTGTGTACTACAAAATAACTAACATTTAAACTTAAAAATTAATAAAAACTACATACTTAAAAAAAAAAAAAAAACTTGCCGTTTTTTTCAGAATCGCAGGCAATTCATTGCCGATTTTGAACGCGATTTTGTGTAGCTTGTCAGTGAACTACGGCACTGTGTAGTAAATGCCGCTCCATCTGAAAGCACGTGCTGGAAATTTACTACTAATCACAGGAGCGGCTTTACTGACGAGATGCGCATGAAAATCGCATTCGATTTTTTGCACAGCCCTAGCTGTTAGTGATGCTACATGCAACACTTACCCTGATTGTGACTGTAGGAGTAGGTGGAACTGCAGGTTCAACCCTGACAACTCCAGAAGCTTCATTACGGAGACCGATGTCAAGTGCATTTAATGAGACTGACTGAAAAGGAAAAGAACGACTCAATTATCACTTGTTAATCAAATGTGCTACTTTGAGAAAGAATGCTTTTAAATTGCTTTTAATTCTGAGTTTTGTTTTTAGTAGGTCTGGGTGGCCTATCATTTTGATAAACCAATATTGATTCTTAAATCCCAATCTATGCTGTTTTCTATTGTTGCGCGAACAACACTTCACTAAACGTTATTTGTAGCGAGCCTCACATCCTGCAAGCTCAATAAGATTTGTGCTTTGTTGCTTTTGATATCTCAGCTTTTAAATTATGTTAATTTTATCACAAAACTCAAACAATAAATGTGGTTTTGGGGCTTTTTAATATGTTGTAACAGATCGCTGTAGCGCCTCAGTTCAAGAAACATGTGAACCGATCATCTCTTTCTCTTTACTACTAGTTATGGCACAAAATATCCATGAATGATCATCAGATGATATGTAATCACTCAATCCAGTGTTTCAACCACGGAAAAGTGTCACATAAAGCTACATTTACCTCAGGAAAGCCATTCAATGTTCATGGCTCATTACTTAGCTAAAAAAAAAATAACTCAAGAGTGGAGCATTTTGCTAAATATATGCAAAATATGACAATCATTATATGTTCTTCAATATTTAATGTAGGTTTGAATATATCTGCCAGTAAAACAAGTTCAAATGTTTATATTTCAACAACAAATTGAGGTAAAACTATTTTTATATAATTAAGAAGTGTATATAAAAACTGCCTTATGTGCAGTTGAAATCTCTGTATACAACTCAGTTTTTATTTGATGTTAATTATATATCTGAAACTAAACTGCAATTAAATGTAATAGTTTGGACGTTCATTTTAACCTTTAACATTATCGTACCAACTGTCAGGGTTCACTGTATAGTTAAAAGCTTTAGTTAAGTGATTTATTCCTTACGAAAAATTCACCTGCACTGTACCCGATACATATCCAAACTATTTGATATCGTAAACAAATGGATTTGTGAAATCTGTGTTAATAGTACACCGATACAGTACTGGGTTTTGAATTAAGGGGAAAAAAAACTAAACTGCGTGAAAACGAGTAAACCATGTTGCATGTATGTGTTTTAAATGACCTGTTGTGAAGCAGGGAGTGGAAGCGTGTCCTGAGGATCAACATCAAATAGATCATTAGGGCAGATTCCACTTTCACTAAGAGCAGCCAGAAGCAAATCTTGTCCAGGATCCATTGTCTAAAAGACAGAGAAAAACATCATATTAATAATTGTAAAGGGACTCTGCTTTGCAAAGCATACATTTTTTTTAATCTAACATCAGACATAATTAAACGTCCTCTTAAACTACACACATTATTATTATTATAGACAATGACAAAAAAACCAACTAAAGATCACATCTTTCCCATCACATGCTGTTGGAAGATACTAATGTTAGACCTTTGCTGAACACTGCATATTATATAAACCTAAACAACACTAATTGGTCAAGAAATGCATTCATAAGGGCAACAACGTGCTAAACTAATGCTGCTAACGGCTCACCACAACATCCACCTCCACACGTGTTTGACAAAACTGATCCAACAAGATACTTCCTGGTCTGCCGTTGATGCTGGATCTTAATATCAATCAGCTTACACGTTCAGAAACCAGACTAAAAGCAAAAGAACACTCTAATGGTTTCCGAAATGATAAAAATGTTGAAATTAAACCGCGATGATAACCTGTCGTATAATCTGGTGGTTGTGAATACACAACATAAGACAGCCGGTGCACTAGACGTGCAGCTCTCGAGTCCTAAATATTCAGCGGAGACGTTTAAATGCTTCCCCGAGAAACAGATCGTGGTTTAAAGACACATTATAACATTAGTGTATAATATAAATACGCTTTAACATAAAGTCTCACTAGTCAAAAATATGTTGAAACACACACCTCAGTCTCGGTGACGGTGGTTGCTAGCTAATTTTCCTGACGATTCGTTTCATCAACTTTAAATATCAAAAGAGTTGTCAAAACGCTCTTTACATAGGCTATACCCGGGTTTAAATAAATCCAAAGGACCCTGACAAGTAGAATAAGTGCCAAAAAGTGACATTTGAACGAATAATTCCTGTCAGTGACTTTGTCAAAAGTGTGCTAACGGCTCGCCTCAGGTTAGCAGCCTCCCTCAGCAATCACGCGAAACGCAATAAAACTCAGTATTCTTTCGCACAGCGGCCCTAAACCGACCAAAACTGTGATCGTGACAGGAAACAGCCCAAACCCGCCGTCTGACAGCTGATGTCCAGTGAGACAAACACCTACTCCACTCGGTTTCTATGGATCCCAAACGTCGCGGCGGAGTGCAGGATGTCGCCGCTGCTCGCGCTGCTTGTTTTCTAACCGCCGGGCGCCATCTTTACCCGAGGCGCGTGCGGGTCACGTGACGCTGCAGCCCACAAAACAGTCGATTTCGTGTCCAAAAATGTTCCCGACGAGACGCGCATGACGCGTCGCGGAGCATCGGTCGAGAGCCGACCAACGACCATCTTTCAGAAAGCACTGGAGCCCGTACATATGAATCGAGATGTTTAATTATATTTTTAAATCAAAAGTAGTCGGAGAAGTCCAGTGAGATAAACACCTACTCCACTCGGTTTCTATGGATCCCAAACGTCGCGGCGGAGTGCAGGATGTCGCCGCTGCTCACGCTGCTTGTTTTCTAACCGCCGGGCGCCATCTTTACCCGAGGCGCGTGCGGGTCACGTGACGCTGCAGCCCACAAAACAGTCGATTTCGTGTCCAAAAATGTTCCCGACGAGACGCGCATGACGCGTCGCGGAGCATCGGTCGAGAGCCGACCAACGACCATCTTTCAGAAAGCACTGGAGCCCGTACATATGAATCGAGATGTTTAATTATATTTTTAAATCAAAAGTAGTCGGAGAAGGAGAGCGCCGAAGCCTTGTCACGTGACCTCTCCCTTACTCACATTCAGGAAGTGACGCGGTAAAAATAGTTTCCTCCAATGACACGTCAAAATGACATTGCTAAAGCCATACTGGTAAGGTCAATGAAGAGTCTGGCCTCTTTTTTTTTGACAAATTTGGAAAACAACCAATATATCAGAAGATGAACATTTAAATCTATGAATTATTTCAACCAATTAAATCCACAAAATGTGAACATCGTTAAAAAATCTTTGTGTATTGTATTTTTAATATTGTCCTCAAAACTCTTGGAGAGATGAAGAAAGCACCCTAAACTTGTGAAAAGTATAAAAAGTCAACAATTCAAAATGTTATGTGTTATATGGACATAATATACCTGTGTTAGCATGTGAAATAAAATATGTCTATAAAGCATTGAGGTTTTTGAGATTTTGTATTTGAATTTTCAATTCAGCCTTTTAAGATATTTATTAAGGACCTTTAGGATTTTTTAATGACAAATAATGAATATTTAAAAAGCTAATGTTATGTTTTATATTCTTTTATTATTTATTATACGTGGTATATATTATATTGATTTTTTATTGTTATTTTGCAAGGCTTCTACTTTCTGCTCCTATAGAATCACAAAAAAACAATTGTATTTTGTATTTTGCAATACTGACCTTAAAACTCCTACAGAAATAAAAGAAAACACCTTAAATTGGTAAAAACTATTACATTTTTAAAAGCTCTTCGAATTTATTTTAAGGATGTATTATATATATATATATATATATACAGTATCTCACAGAAGTGAGTACACCCCTCACATTTTTGTTTCTTGTATGCGTGGTTGTTGTGTTTTGATTTATGTTGTTGTTCTGTTGTATATCATATAGTATCCTCTGTTGTTAGTTTATGTTCTCCTCCCTTTTTTCTTACATCATGTGAAATGCTTTCTTCAGTATTCACTTTGTTCTGTTGCTATTTATCGTATAGACCCTTTTATTAAATAGAGATACATGGAGGTCATACAAGTATATGTATATGTTTTGCAATTCTATGCTGTATGTTGTTTTATATACGGAAAAATGTAAATAAAGTGAGGTAAAAAAAAATGAGGAAAATAAACTCAAGTAGCCTACTCAAGGCCAACACTTCAAAATGTCTTTGTACACCATAAATTAATTATTAGTCCTTTTGTAAGGTCCTTTAATATGTTTTTATTATTAAGAAAAAATTATTTATATTATTAACAGGCTGTTAAAACCAAATAAGCAAATAAAAATAACGCATAGAATTAAAATAAAAACATGCGTGCAATACCAAATCAGCTTTTCGATAGCTATTTTATTTATTATATTTTTTTAAGTAATACTAAAACAGGAAGAGCAAGCCGCCTAACAGCCCCATCTTCCGGCCAATGTGAACACAACTTCCAAACATTTTTGGTTATTTAAATGCTCACATGGTTTCCTCCCGTGAATGAGACGAAAGTGCAAACATGGCGGCGTGAACCTGTAGAAACTAGCTCGGATGTAGGAGTATTTATCAAAACAGCTCGAAAGTTTCTTGTTTTTTTTCCGTCTTTAACACGGAGCTGTTTGTGAATGTCCTCGTTTCACGCCGTTTAGAAGGACAGAAGTGTAGAGGAGAAAACACTGGACTGGACCTTCGGCTCAAAACAAAAGGCTCGGAGAGAGAGTGGACTGAAATGAACGGGGTAGGTTAACGTTACACGGCGGTTCCTCGCAGACGAGGATGATTTGATAGCAGACAGTGTTCGGATGCGTCTATAAACTGCTCTTATCCTCAACTCTCCATCCGAAAACACACCAACTCCACCGGCTGGTGCGGGTCCCTGTTTGATAAGTTGTATGAATGGATGTGGCTTTGTGCGTGTGTTCAGTGTGATGTATGATCTGTGTGTGTTCGGACACCTGATTGTGACGTTTAAAGCAGATAAAAGAACAATAGCGCTGCGGTGCACAACATTATAAACCGCGAGAGCGCAGCTGCTACAGGCCCAGTGTGGGCGTGTCCAGCAACTATCAATTACATGGTAAAGTTACAGCAATATAATTACATGTTATGCAGTTTACGATCGACTCAGATATTCGTTATTTTGAAAAACACTATTTGATTAGTCGCCTCCAGTTAAATATTTATTACTACTATTATTATTATTATATTGCTTTTCACAATTATTTATTATTTGTCATTATTTATAATCTTCAGGAAGTGACGCGTTAAAAATAGTTTCCTCCAATGACACGTCAAAATGACATTGCTGAAGCCATACTGGTAAGGTCAAAGGCAGAGAGTTCTGACCTCTGCTTTTTGACAAAGGTTGAAAAACACCCAAAATATCAGAAGATCAACATGTTTTAAATCTATGAATTATTTCAATCCAAAAAAAAAATAATCCACAAACAATGAACAACATTTAAAAAAAGTATTGTAAATTGTATTTTTTAGTATTGTCCTCAAAACACTTTGAGAGCCCCCTAAATTTGTGAAAAGTATAAAAAGTCATATTAAGTGTTATATATGGACATAATATACTAATGTTGGCATGTAAAACAAAATATGTCCATAAACCATTGAAGTTTTTGAGGTTTTATATTAGAATTTTCAGTTCGGCCTTGTAAGATATTTAAGGACCTTTATGATTTTTAAAATGAAAAAAAAAATTTATATATCATTTTATTATTTATTTTAAGTGGTATATATTATACTGATAGTTTTATTGTTTTGCAAGGTTTCTACTTGCTGGCCAAGAATTGTATATTGTGTTTTGCAAGACTGACCTTTAAACTCTTAAAGAAATAAAAGAAAACACCTTAAATTTGTATTATTACATTTGTATTATTAATTTTTTTTTAAAAAGAGTTTCAAATTTATTTTGAGGAAAATAAAACACTCAGTACCCAAGGTCAACTCTTCAAAACGTCTTTGTACACTAAAAATTATTAGTCTTTTGTAAGGTTCTTTAAAATGTTTTTTAGTTATTAAGAAAAATATGATTTACATTATTATTTTTTGCAAGGCTTCTACTTACTGTCCCTATAGAATCAACAAGCTGTTAAAACTAAATAAGCAAATAAAAACAACGCATAGAATTAAAATTAAATCATGAAAATGTACTACCAATACTGAATCAGCTTTTCGAGAGCTATTTTATTTTTTTATTATTATTTTATTTTTTTACTAATAATAAAACAGGAAGAGCGAGCCGCCTAACAGCCCCATCTTCCGGGCAATTTGAACACAACTTCCAAACATTATTGGTTATTTAAATGCTCACATGGTTTCCTCCCGTGAATGAGACGAAAGTGCGTGCAAACATGCGTGAAACTGTAGAAACTATCTCGTATGTAGGAGTATTAATCAAAACAGCTCGAAAGTTTCTTGTTTTTTTTCCGTCTTTAACACGGAGCTGTTTGTGAATGTCCTCGTTTCACGCCGTTTAGAAGGACAGAAGTGTAGAGGAGAAAACACTGGACTGGACCTTCGGCTCAAAACAAAAGGCTCGGAGAGAGAGTGGACTGAAATGAACGGGGTAGGTTAACGTTACACGGCGGTTCCTCGCAGATGAGGATGATTTGATAGCAGACAGTGTTCGGATGCGTCTATAAACTGCTCTTATCCTCAACTCTCCATCCGAAAACACACCAACTCCACCGGCTGGTGCGGGTCCCTGTTTGATAAGTTGTATGAATGGATGTGGCTTTGTGCGTGTGTTCAGTGTGATGTATGATCTGTGTGTGTTCGGACACCTGATTGTGACGTTTAAAGCAGATAAAAGAACAATAGCGCTGCGGTGCACAACATTATAAACCGCGAGAGCGCAGCTGCTACAGGCCCAGTGTGGGCGTGTCCAGCAACTATCAATTACATGGTAAAGTTACAGCAATATAATTACATGTTATGCAGTTTACGATCGACTCAGATATTCGTTATTTTGAAAAACACTATTTGATTAGTCGCCTCCAGTTAAATATTTATTACTACTATTATTATTATTATATTGCTTTTCACAATTATTTATTATTTGTCATTATTTATAATCTGTCATTAGAATCAGAATGAGAAAGATTGCCACACACAAGGAATTTTCCTTGGTAAATAAATGTTCCAGTGCACACATACAAATAGGACTCTATATATATATATATATATATATGTGTGTGTGTGTGCGTGTGTGTATATACATATATATATATATACATACATACATATACTGTATATATATATATACTGTATATGTGTGTGTTTGTGTACATATAACCTTTATTTATATATAT